GAAAATGTGGATGTTAGAGCCAGAGATGACACAGCACAACAACCTGTCAGGAAATTACATATATATATGATGAGGGTGAGTATTGGTGGAGGAAAAGGAGGAGGAGGGTGATCCAGCCTGGTACACAGGAGGACATTAACACAACTTTTGGAATGGAATTTGTTCATCCATCCTACGAGAGGATAGACATTAACACAACTTCTGGAGTGGTATGCATGGGTCACTTAAGGAAGGTGAAGGAGGGTAAAGCATACAGTGGGAGGAAAGCTATATCTATACCCTATAGTCTTGAGAGAGTGAGGCCTCACACTCCACACTAGTTTTATTATCTCTCACCACTTGCTCACACTCCACCGCCTAACCCAGTGACGCAACACGCTCACCTGGACAAGTTGGATATATGGAACTAACGAGATGCGCCACAGAGAGACGGAGGAAGAATTTAAAAATTTATGTTATTGGAAAAACAACTGTATGAGGTACAAGCGTGAGAAAAGTCACGTGCCTTGTGTCTCTTTGTGCACGAGTAAGGCGAGGGGAAAGTTGAAGGAGGTGAGGATAGAACAGTGAGGGAAGAGTAAAGTAAGGGATGTGAGAATGGAGCTAGGCAAAGTTAGTAAAGCAAGGTGCAGGGAGTTGGTATCATGGAGGGAAGGAGGAAGGTGTAGGGAGTGGGTATCAGGAAGGGAAGGGAAGCGGAAGTTTGGGCTTTTGGGTTGGGCAGAGGCATTAATTGTTCCTACCCATAACTTTCTACTTCCTTTCTCCCCACATACCCACACTTTCCCTTAATATATCCAGAAGAGCGTGACCTCCAAGACAGGGAGGTAGTATTCAAGGATTGTCTGTATGACTGGAAAAAACTTAAGAATGTTAATGACAGTTTCTGTTGGTCGCTTCGTTGTAATGAGTTAACTTGTATAAAGAGAATAAGAGAAGACTGAAACTGGTGAAAGCTGCACCAGACAGGCCAGGATGCACTCTACAACCAACCAGGTGGTCATCATACTCAACAATGTTCCTGACTGATGACTAAATGTACGTCTGTCTTAACAGCACAATTCCGATAAACACTGACCGACGGTGATGTCACCACATTGTAGATGACTGTTGTCAAATTAGATGACTGGTGTCACCACATTGTAGATGACTGGTGTCACCACACTAGATGACTGGTGTCACCACATGAGATGACTGGTGTCACCACATGAGATGACTGATGTCACTACATTAGATGACTGGTGTTACCACATTGTAGATGACCAGAGAGTCAGCAAGACGAGTACTCATCTAGTATTCCAACACACTGCCTTCATGCCTCTCACACTCACCAACTTCCCACTAACTCTTCTATTGTAAAGATCCACCGCCTGACGTCCTAACCTTTAACAAACGCTTAAGACATAGGTGAGGAAGCCTAGTAGACAGGCACCTGCAGGGTCGCCGGTGTGACACTGGGGTGTCAAGCCTAGGCCACAACACCTTTATGATACTAAATACAACTTGAATCTTCACGTGACCTAAGCCTGGCCCGCTCAGCTGATACTTACATCATTGAACAAACAACTTGTAGAGAATACGGGGATAAAAGACTCTGAAAGTGAATCTCGTCAAAATGTTTACATAAAATTTACCAGCTAATGGAAACACATGGAACAATATTGTTCAGGTATAATATACTATGTAAATTAATACATATCAAAATACTGCATCTTTTGTGAATTCAATAAAACTTGTTAATAAATCTATGGAACAAGCCTTGAGGTATAATAAGTGTTTTATAGTAAACATAGTACAATAAAAATATACATTTACATCTGCTATGTACAGTAATAACAGAAGAGGAGTATATACTATTGTGCACTTGGCTGGGGATATAGCACACCATCCACCTGTCACGCTTTGTAGTTAATATTTCCGTGTTCTAATCAGCCAAGAGACGTGTGTCCTAGCAGAGAGCCAGCCAGAGACGTGTGTCCTAGCAGAGAGCCAGCCAGAGACGTGTGTCCTAGCAGAGAGCCAGCCAGAGACGTGTGTCCTAGCAGAGAGCCAGCCAGAGACGTGTGTCCTAGCAGAGAGCCAACCAGAGACGTGTGTCCTAGCAGAGAGCCAGCCAGAGATGTGTGTCCTAGCAGAGAGCCAGCCAGAGACGTGTGTCCTAGCAGAGAGCCAGCCAGAGACGTGTGTCCTAGCAGAGGGCTAGCCAGAGACGTGTGTCCTAGCAGAAATCCAGCCAGAGACGTGTGTTCTAGCAGAGAGCCAGCCAGAGACGTGTGTACTAGTAGAGAGCCAGCAAGAGACGTGTGTCCTAGCAGAGAGCCAGCCAGAGACGTGCCCCTGGTCCAGCCTGTCCCTGTAGACCACACACTCATCACCTATGGTTCTTGGCCTTTTCCCTGATGTTAATACCTCGTCGCCTATCGCAGCTTCCACACAGTTCTCGTGCGAGGGACTAGTGTGTTGATACAGTGCTGTGGTGTGGCACTGTTGGGTGAATTATAATTAGACACTGTGACCTGTCTGTGGGTGAGCCACAGACAGAAACTGCGACATGTTTATGGTGCGCCACAGACAGACGCTGTGACCTGTTTGTGAGCGGGAGACACTGATTTGTCTATGTGTGAGCCACAGATGGACAGTGGCTTTAGAATGCTGTCCTCGCCTATTCACCTTTACACTCCCTCAATGTTCACCACAATATCGAATGAAGTGTGTGTGCTGCAATACATACAATTTTGCTGACCCTCATAATATAGTGACTTGCTATTCTTCTGTTCGTTTATCCCAGTTTCTTGTAGCAATGGCCGTTGCAAGTCAGCAACCCGGGTTTGTTATAACTGTGGAGTTTGTAGGTCGCCTGTTGAGAGAGGCGAGTGTGCATAAGGGCTGGAATATGTAATCTGGGCACCTCCAGGGTTGTATTCTCCCAGCGTGTGTATAAATGCTGTGATGGGCGTCAACGGGGTATGGTGTGAGGTAGAGAATAGGAGAGGGAGAGGGACTACCAAGTCACATCTACACAAGTGTGTCCACATGAAACACTAGACAAGAGAGACTGTACCGGGGACAACGAACTGGCACTTGAAAAATAAGATTACGAACTAAATTTTAGAGAAGCAAAGGGCCCTCTGTCAGAACCCTTGTAGACTATGGGTACAATCTAGCAGTGATGTAGAGCTTGAGCTAATACTTATGATGGTGTGAAAGCCCTCACATAGCAGTGGTAGCATTGTACGGGACACCTAGTAATGGTAGTGGTGTGCAAGGCCCCTGCTATCCTGATATCACTGATGGTGGTGTGAAGTACCTCTTCTATCACTGACGTAGTGTGCAGGACCTCTTCTATCACTGACGGTGGTGTGGAGAACCTCTTCTATCATTGATGGCGGTGGTGTGGAGGGTCCTGATATCACTGACGGTGGTGTGGAGAACCTATGTTACTACTGATACAGGAGGAGGAGGAGGGAGGTGCGAGGTAGTTACTCTCTGGGAAAACAACACACGAAGCTCATCAGTCACACCAGGATTGCTTGGTAACTCTGAGACACCCCACCACTTAACACTGACGGAGGTGCACACAAAACTACAGCAGTAGTGGGAGATGGTTGACCACGGCAGCGGTGTTCCCGCTCGACGCTGCAGAAGGTCCGTTGTCCATGATCGACAGCTATAGCCTTTTTTCAAGGCAAAGCTAAGTGATGCATTGATCCTAACTGCAGGTCAAAATACTGTGTGCTTGGCAAACACTGCTGAGAGGCACTGGACCGCCCGCATTCACTAAACTATGGAATGCTTTGAGAGATTACTACAGTAATTACACTGTCCCAGTATGCAGCGGACGGCCCTCCTTCACCTCCTATCTCCAGCAGTGCTTCAGGAAACTAGGTGTGTTGTTGGTGTATTTACGAAAGGAACACTTGACAAGCGAGTGTCCCCTCACACTTTCCGTTGCTTGTTTCACACACTGACCGCCCTCACTCACCACTCACACCTCCCCCCGACACTCCCATGGATGTAGCCAGGTTGTGGTGGTAGTGGAGTTGACTACTGCTGATGGTGGTGGCCGTGATTGTGGTGGTGGTAGTGAGGTGACCACTTCAGACCTGGTCAAACTGGGCCTCGCCTGCTGCTGCTGTGCTTGTTGCTGTTGTAAAGGGGAAGAGGGAGGAGGTACAGGAGACAGGTAGGAGAAGGAAGTGAGGGGAGGGTGATGGTGTAGTGAGGGGAGGAGGGAAAGACGTGCAGAATGGGTGGGAGGTGGAGGTATGGTAGGGACACTATTGGGCGATAGGTGCAGTAAGGGCACTAGTGGGTGGAAGGTGGAGGTGGGGTACGGATACTACTGGGTGGGAGGTGGAGAAAGGGCACTAGAGTGGGTGGGAGGTGGAAGCAGGGTCACCTCTGATAGGTTCTAGTTTAGTTTGCTCGTTGGCCACCATTGATGGCTCGGTGTTTCGCCTTCGTAATTTAGACTTAGAGGTCTTCTTGAGCATGGTGGCCTGTGGGGGGAGGTGGGGGGATGGGGGAACACATGTGGGAACAATAAGTGATTCAGATGGGGGTACGGGGGGGGCAGTAAGTACATTGTGTGAGGCAGGGCAAGTGGAGAGGGATGAGGTAGGTCATTAATGGAAGGTACGTAATGGTAAAGAAGGGGCAGGGGAGGGTGGAGGCGTCCACCACACAGGAGGTGTGTGTGTGTATGTGTGTGGTGGACGAACATATCCACCACACAGGAGGGGTGTGTGTGTGTGTGGTGGACGAACATATCCACCACACAGGAGGGGTGTGTGTGTGTGTGTGGTGGACGAACATATCCACCATACAGGAGGGGTGTATGTGTGTGTGTGGTGGACGAACATATCCACCACACAGGAGGGGTGTGTGTGTGTGTGTGGTGGACGAACATATCCACCACACAGGAGGGGTGTGTGTGTGTGTGTGTGTGTGTGTGTGTGTGTGTGTGTGGTGGACGAACATATCCACCACACAGGAGGGGT